CAGGAGACCTTAATGAAGTGACCTCACCTCTTGTTTTAGATGGAATGGAAGCTAGTCGTATATTTGAATAACTAACATTTTGATTTTTAAAGTCTATCACAGCAACGGACTGAATTTAGGGCCCTTGACTTTTGAAATTTTTTTCCCCCGTAGTCACATGTATTCTCTCTTAGGCCAGAGTCTGTTACTGTGGTGATTTTGTGCTGTGTTGCTTAGCTAAGCTAGAAGGACATTTCCCAGAATTCTCTTCCCTGGGTAGCTCTGGACGAGGGTTCGAAAGAAGAGAAATTTGCATGATTTGGAAGGCCAAAGTGACCCCACAGTGCTGTGCTGGAGGCGTTGGTGCCGGGCCCTAGCCACCACCGCAGCTCGTGCACCCCGCTGCCGATCACTGGTTCCCCTGGGTGGAGTGCGGGCCCTTTGAGTTTGGCCAGATCTCCTCCTATAGCTTCTCCAAGCACTAGACCGGGCTCTGGGAGAAGGCAGCAGTTTTTCTGCAGGTCGCCGGCCTCACTGGAGTGATGTGGCGAAAGATGCGCGTGCTGCAGTTTCCTCGCATGGATTCCAGTTTGTCTACCGGATTCAGTGAGTCGTCTCTGCTTCTCTCTACTTTGAGTCCAGCTTTTCCTCCGGCCTGCCCTGCTGTCAAGCAGAAGCTTCAGAAGGCCACCACCAGATGCCAAGACCGCAGACTTCCACATGCTTCTTCACCAGCTTCCCTCTGTGCCTTGATTAATAAATTTTTCCCTCTTCCCCAGTTGTCCCCTTCTAGACCTTTGTGTTCTCAGCTTCTCCTACAATTGTGTGATGCCGAATCCCTATAGGAAATTTCTTATCGTTATCACTCGCAGTGGTTCTAATTCCCTGCTGCAGTTGCTCAGGCTGTCTACAGATTACCCAGGCCCTACTATACCTCATCTCTCTTTAGTTGACTGCACTTGTGCATTTTCACTTATTCCCAAGGGACCATTAGCTCTTAGTAAATGATGATGAGATTTTTAAATGCATCTTAATATGCATGATATTTTTAAATGCATCTTATATAAATGGCCATCATGACAGACTAGAAACCAGGATTAAATAATGTACAGAAAAACTATAGACTTCAGGTGTCTGACCTTGGGCACCTCCACAACCCCAGAACTACCCAACTCCAGCTATTAAGTAAGAGAGAAAGAAACTTCTCACTTGTTTAAGCCATTGTTATTTTGGTCCTTGTTACATCTGCTGAGCTTGAATTCTACATTCAACATTTTCTTTTTTTATTTTATTTTATCATTATTATTATTATTATTATTTTGAGACAAGAGTCTCGCTCTGTCGCCCAGGCCAGAGTGCAGTGGCGTGATCTCCGCTCACTGCAGGCTCTGCCCCCTGGGTTCACGCCATTCTCCTGCCTCAGCCCCCCGAGTAGCTGGGACTACAGG